GGGTCCCGACCCGAAACGTCAACTTTCCTACTCCTCTGATGCTGCCTGGCCTGCTGTGTTCCTCCAGCTCCACACTGTCTCTTCTGCATCCTGCACCTGTGTCCCCTGTTCCTAGATTCCCCAACCAAGGAAAATTTCCTTACTGCATCTAATGTTCCCAGCCCTGTCAAAAAAAATTTTATACGTTTCAATTAAATCTCCTCTTACCCTTCTCAACTCTACTGAAAACAGGCCCAGTTAAACCAATCTTACCTCACAGGACAGTCCTGACATCTCCAGTATCAATCTAGTAAATGTGTCCTGCATCTGTGGCAAGTATATGCTTTCTTAGGCAGGAATGTACACAATACCTCAGGTTGTGGTCTCACCAAGGCTCTGTAGAACTGCAGTAAGCCATCCCTATTTCTGAATTCAAATCTTCTTGCAACAAAGGCTGACATGCCATTTGCCTTCCTAATTGCTTGCTGGACTTATTTGTCTACTTTCATTAACTGGTTACTGGGATACCCAAACCCTTCTGTACATCCACACCTCCCAATATGTCAACCTTTTAAATAGTACTCTGCCTTTCTGTTCAGTCACATTTACTGCAACTGCTTTGTGTTTTCCCATTTATCCAACTTGTCTAAATCACCTCAAAGCCTCCTTGCATTCTCCTCTCAATTCTCAACCCCACACAGTTGTGTCAGCAGTAAACCTGGAAATGTTCCATTTGATTCCTGCATCCAGGGAATTTGTATTGATCGTGCTTGCGTATTTCACTACTTCAGGGTGGTTGAGGCCAAAACATCATGTGTTTTCATGAAAGTAGATACAGCACTCTTGGCTTAAGAGATCAAAGGATATGGAGCTGGATAGAGGGGGTTGGATATTATTGTCTTGAGCTTAATGATCAGCCATGGTCATATGAATGGTGTAGCAGGTTTGAGGGGTTGATGGACTACTCCTTCTCCTAGCTTCTACATTTGTGTGAATAGCTAGGGCCGAAGCACCATCCTCGCAGTACCGCACTACTCATTGCTTGTCACCTGGAAAAATACCCTTTACTCCCACTCTGCAACCTGTCAACCAATTCTCAATCCAAGCTGATATATTACCCCCTACCCCATGTGCTTTAATTTTGCCCACTAATCTTATGTGTGGAATGCCAAGTAAAGCCTTCTGAAAACCAAATACACTATGTCCACTCATTTTCCCTATCTATTTAATTAGTTAAATCCTCAAAGAACTCCAGTATGTCAAATAAGCATGATTTGCCTTTCATAAACCCATACTGGCTTTGTCCAATTCCATCAGTGCTTTCTAACAGTTCTGTTATCATGTCTTTTATAACAGATTCCAGTACTTCCCCCATTACTGATATTCTTCTAACTCTAGCTGTGGTTGCCATAAGCTTTTTGAGACTGAAATTTCATTTCAAGACTGCTGGAATAGAAGAACAGCAATGTATTGTTGGGATTGTACAAGGCTCTTGTCAGACTGCATTTGGAATATTGAGAGCAGTCTTAGCCCCATATCTAAGCAAAGGGTCAAGAGGTGGTTTAGAAGAATGATCCCACGAATGAAAGGCTTGTCATATGAGCAGCGGTTGATGACTCTGGGTCTATGCTCAATGGTGTTTAGAAGGATAAGGGTGGATCTCATTATAACTGACAATATTGAGAGCCACTGCTAGAAATTAGGACCCAACGGCACAACCTCATAGTCAAGGAATGATCCTTTAGAACTGAGATGAGGAGGAATTTCTTCAGCCAGAGGCTGGTTAATCTACAAAACTCATTGCTGCAGAGGGCTATGGAGGCCACGTCGTTGAGTGCATTGAAAGCAGAGATAGATTGATTCTTACTAAACAAGAACCTATGATAAAGGGGAGAAGGCAGGAGACTAGGGTTTAGAAACATAGCAGAAATAATCGAATGGTGGAGCAGACTTGATGGGCTGAATGGTTTAATTCTCCTCCAGCTCCAAAATAAGCTGACTGGTCAAATTTTAGCCTGTAGCCAGAATAGATCCATATCCTGAGGTAGGACTGAGTGGTCAGATGAAGCTGTCTTTGGGAAGGTATGCCTTGAGGATAGTTCATGGACGGAGTGTACGAGATTTGCCAGAAGCACACTGTTTTGACGACAATTATATTTGTGGGAATCGGCTAGAGTAAAGTTGCTGCTGGAGGCTCCCTGATTATCACATTCTGCATCATGAAGCACAGTGGAACAAACTTGTGAAAGTGCTATCACTTATGTGCTGAGTGTGCAAGTTGAGAAATCCCTGTCTCTCATTTTTTTTGGTATCAGCTACTTGAAAGTGCATTTTATTGTTTTTAATTAAGTACAATTTCAGTTATGTAGGTAGTGGTTTGATTGTTGCAGTGAATGTTTTTAGAAAATGAAATCTCCTCCCATCAACTTCTTCAATGGAAATTGTTGAGAAGATGTGTTTCAAAAAGTTGTTACTTATCTTTGCAAAGTCCCACTTTCTCTCACCTCATCACTGGCTGACAAACCTTGAACTGCTAAGGTTCCCCAAACTGTACATTTTCTTTCTAAAACTTACTCTCTCACAGGATCCATTTGTGTCTTGAATACACTACCAAACCAGATATTAAGTTCACAATTTCTAATTAAACTAGAAATTGTTCTTTTACCAGCTTATATATGGATCCCTTCATCCTATATTTGTCTCTAAACTTCAGTCTTATGGCTTATCCGTTTTTCATCTGTTTTGTTGTACCTCTCTAAACGTTCGTTCCTTACGTTATTCTTTAGCATTGCACAAGTTTGTCCAGACTTTCTCTATCATGCAGTTCTGAAACACAAGGAACTCTGTCCCTTCTCTGCTAAATTTCCAGAGCTAAATTATTTGTTGCAGGCTTTGATTATCATTCCTGAACACACTAATCAACATGTACTAAACCAAAACATTATACAGTTTCAATCGTAATCATTTCAAGTCGTGTAATGATCTAGGTAACAATTCTCAAACAACATTCTCCCAATTGTTGGAGAAACCCAGCAGGTCTGGCAACATCTGTGGACAGAAGGCAGAGTTAACATTGCAGGTCCAGTGACCCTTCTTCAGAGCTGATTGTAGTTAGAAAAAGGTTGGTGTAGATGCTGAAAATGGAGTTGGTTGGGGGTGGGGGGTGGGTAGAGGAGTAGACGATAGATAGAGATGGAGTTCACCAAAGGACATGGAGAAAGATACACAGGTTGGACAGACAAAAGAATGGGTAGAGGTGAGCCTGGAGAATCAGTAGCTGCCCATGGGGTCCATTAGTGACTGGGTTATTTATGGTAATAGTCCATGTGATGACAAGGCCCCTGGTGTGTCGGGGTAACGGTAAGGGCATGGGTGAAGGTATTTAGCCCCTAAGATTATTAAACTCGATATACAGTCTGGAAGATTGCACCGTCCCCAAGTGGAAAGTGAGATGTTGTTCTTCTACCTTGGTCTGAACTTCACTTGAGCACTGCAGCAAGCCTGTGACAGAGATGCTGGCCAGGGAGTATGGTGGGGTGTTCAAGTGACAGGCTACCGGAAGCTCAGGGTCATTTCTGCAAACAGAATGTAGGTGTTCTGCAAAGTAGTTGCCCAGTTTGCATTTCGTCTCTGCAGTGTACAGAGTTGCGAGTGGTGAATACAGTAGGCTGGATTGATTGCTTCACCTGGAAGGTGCGTCTAGTAAGTAACCGTTCTGTTTGCTTCATTAATTGCCATGCTTCTGAACATGGTCAGCATTGAGTCTACCACCTTTCCCCAGATATTTTGACATCCAACCACACTCTGTACTGATGAATGTGTAATATCTTGTATTTGTTCCTTAATTGAATTGCAGCAATACTAATACTGTCTGTGGTATATTCAGCTAGTCATTAGACGGGGACATGAAAATTTTCAGCTGGTAAATCAGAAAATCGTAAATTGATAGACTATAGAAGGTGCACATTCAGCACATTTAGCCTGTGTGTCAGCTCTTTGGTACTCCCATCAGCATGTTTCTATAACTTGCATGAGCTAAGGATTTCTCCTAAGTCTGGCATTCTTCCTTCAGCTATAACCTTTTTGCTCTGTTATGTTATTTCATGATAATGTTGTGGCTTTAAGAGGTTACTTTGTCCTTTTTTTATAAAAGGAAAGAGAGGTTGTAAGGCAGAGGTTCCAAGCAGTCTACCTGACAAATACATGAATAGGATGGGAATAGAGGGATACTGTCCCCAGAAGGGTAGGGGGTTTTAGTTGTGACGGGTAGCACGTCGGTGCAGGCTTGGAGGGCTGAAGGGCCTGTGTTATAATTTTCTTTGTTCTTGTTCTAAAACAACTAGAGTTAACAGCTTGTGAGGCATTAGGGTTTTTCTTCTAACGTTGGAACAGTAAAAGCAGCCTGGATAGATGTGGCCAGCTCTCATAGGCCCGGATTGAGGTTTTTTTTTCATTTTTAGGTTTAGCTTTAGTTGCTGTTGTGGGCTTGAAGAAGTGGAAGCTATTTTTCTCTCTCGTGATTACAGTCAAAAGCTGGAAGTTCTTTTCCTAGGCTGCTAGATTGCATGCGAGATAAAATCGGTTTTTCAGAATTTGCCTTTTTTTGCCAAAGGTTGTGTTTATAGATGTTACTATATTGGAACGGTTAATTAATTAATGCAGTAGTTATTGGAAAAATTAACAAAATAGTAGTTAAACTATTTTAAGTTCTTCTTTCTTGTGTTGTATTTTAACTATAGTGCTTAAAAAATTGTATTTTGCTTAATGTTGAGTAGATGACCAATCGAATTGCATCTGGAACACAGTACGTTACATTTGCCTTTAAAAAGAAGAAAAAGTTAGGGTCTAGGCTACATGCTTTAAACATTTTGAGGGTGTTTGGTCTGGTCTGTAACAATTTGCAAAGGGTTAGGAACAAATTGTTATGAGATGGTCCATTTGCTGCTGCACTGCCGTCAGGTGCCAAGCAACAATGCATTCGTCCACAAGCCCCATGATCTTTGTTGCAGTTTCCATTTGATGAAGCTCCAGCATTGAATCTAAAAAAGTGTGCTTATTCTGAATTAATGAGAACCAGAAGACATAACATTCACTCTCTTGGCCAATTTCTTAAAGAGAAAGCCACTTCAGAAGATTAACTGATTTGTCTTTTCACAGGTGTTTTGTGACACCCTGAACATTTACAGCTTTTATTTATTTTTGTTTCTTTTTAATTCTACAGCTCGTCTGCTATCCAGAGCCCTTCTCCATTTTACTTAGGAGGCTGACAGCATTCAGCTTTTATCATAGCCTGCCTGCGGAACTTCATCAAAGTCTTTCTTGAAAAGTTTGCAGTAGTACATGACAGAACATTTGACATTTAGTAGATGTTATTTGCTGAAAAATTCATAAAGTTGAATGGGGCAAGATCCCCTTTCCAAGAAAGGCATGCTGATTGCCATTTGTTAGATTATTTCCAATCAAGTTGGCATCTATTTCTTTCTGATGATCAATGCTATTAGGCCTGTAATTTTATTGCCGCGCCTTGTTGGACAACTAATGTCACATTGGCTCTTTCCAATCTGGTGGCGGGTCTCCCTGCATTCAATGATTTCGTCTTCAATGTCTTCAGCAATATTGTTGACTGCATCCCTCTTTTCTAACAGCAATCCTGGCTATATCCTCTCTTCCCCAGAGACTGATTGATTGTTAGCTTTTTCTGATGAAAAGATCCATACACTAGGTACATGAAGTCAGTCTTCTTCATTGGAAACTTCATCACCACATTAATGAAATGACTTTTAACAAACAGGTGGCTTATACGAATATTTCATTTGTTTAATCATCTAGCCTCTCCTCATTAGATTAATTGTGTTTCAGAGCATGGGCATTTCCAAGTGCCTAACGTTGTCATGTGCCTTTCACTGCTTCCAGGTTTCATACTTACGCATCTAAATAAATCGGAAAACATTACCTTTCAACACTTGTTTAATTGATCTACCTATCTTGTACAGATAATCTTATTTCTTGTTGGTGAACTTTTCTTAAACATTTGTCAGACAGACAATCTAAATGTCAATTATTTAACTATGTAATTTAACCATTTCCAACAAGAGAGAAGTTCACCATTGTCCCTTCAAGTTTAATTCATACAATCCGTACAGTGTGGAAACAGGCCCTTCGGCCCAACATGCCCACACCGACACTCAGAGCATCCCACCAGACCCAACCCCTGCTAATCTACACAACCTTGAACACTACAGGCAATTTAGCATGGCCAATCCACCTAGCCTGCACATCTTTGGATTGTGGGAGGAAACCGGAGCACCAGGAAGAAACCCACGCAGACACAGGGAGAATGTGCAAACTCCACACAGACAGTCACCCAAGGGTGGAATTGAACCTGGGTACCTGGTGCATTAACATTGCTGAAATCTCCCACAATCAATATCGCGAGAATTACACTGAACAGAAACTGAACAGGACCAACCATTCTGGGTACAAGAACACATCAGAGACCAGGAATTCCGCAACAAACTCACCTCCTTTCTCACTAATGCCCACCCACTACTTACAATGGCATAGGTCAAGAGTGTGATAAAATATTATTAGAACATAGAACATAGAACCGTACAGTACAATACAGGCCCTTCAGCCCACCATGTTGTGCCAAACATTTACCCTAAACCGAAGGTCTATCTAACCTCCACCCCTACCTTATACTATCATCCATATGCCTATCTAATAGCCGCTTAAATGCCCCTAATGAGGCCGATTCCACTACCCTCTCCGGCAATACATTCCACGCCCCTACCACCCTCTGAGTAAAGAACCTACCTCTGAAGTCATCCCTATATCTACCTCCACTCACTTTAAAACTATGCCCCCTTGTAATAGCTACCCCCACCCTAGGAAAAAGTCTCTAGCTGTCCACTCTATCTATACCTGTAATCATTTTGTACATTCTTCATTTACTTAGATGGATGCAACTCTAACAACATTCCAGAAACTTGCCACCACCCAGGACAAAAGCAAGCTGCTTGATTGGCACCCCATCTTAGTTCACTCCACCACCATCGACGCATACTATCAACAGCGTGCACCATCTACAAGACTTTTTTTTCTTTATTCACTCACGGGATGAGGGCGTCGCTGGCTGGGCAGCATTTATTGCCCATCCGTAATTGCCCAAAGGGCAGTTAAGAGTCAACCACATTGCTGTGGGTCTGGAGTCACACGTAGGCCAGACCAGGCAAGGATGGCAGTTTCCTTCCCTAAAGGACATTAGCGAATCAGATGGGTTTTTCCGACAATCAACAATGGATTTACGGTCATCATTACACTGTTAATTCCAGATATTCATTGAATTCAAATTCCACCATCTGTTGTGGCAGGATTCGAACCTGGGTCCCCAGAACATCGTCTGGGTCTCTGGATTAACAGTCCAACGATAATACCACTAGGCCATTGCCTCCCCTCATGCAGATGCAGAGCACTAACTCTCCGTTGCACTTTTCAAAACCGCAACCTCTTTCACCCCTTAGCAGGACACGTGCTGCAGATGCATGGGAACACCATCACCTGCAAGGTTTCCTCTAAGCCACTCACCATCCAGATTTGGAAATACATCACGGTTTCTTCACTGCTTCTGGGTGCCTAACAGCACTGTGGGCAACTCTACATCCCCTAAGGACTTGAGTGGTTCAACAAGGCAGCTCACCACTATCTTTTCTAAGGGTAACTAAGGATGGACAATAAATGCTGGCCAACCCAGTAACACCCACATCCCATGAATGAATGAAAATTAATCACAAAGTCCATGAACATAACTTGATGTGCAAAATCAGTGACCACAATTGAGCTTTACCACTCTTTGGTTGCCATCTCTCCTCGGTCTGTTGGTTGATGCAGTTTTGCTCTGTATCGTCCAACCTTTCAGTAGAACTATCTAATTCATTGTCCGTCTCATCATCGCTATATGGCACCACATCATCAAATCTCCTGTCATCGTCATCATCAAGGCTGGAGATTCTGTCAGTACTCATCATCCTACAGGTTTCTGATTCTGACTTCAGGTTCTTTCAAAGATACCTAAAACAAACTTGGAAAACAAAGTGACACATTAAGAAATCTTCAAAGTAGAAACATTTACAATGACATTAAGATACCAGTGACTCCCTATAAAGTATTATCATGGTTTCCACTTTTATGTTAATATATACTGCAGTCAGCTCCTTTTGCCCTGTCCTCCAAATTCACTTACTTCCTGACCTTCTTGAACTTCTCCCTCTCAAATAAATTCAGACACACATTCTTGCCAAGGTCAAAGAATAAAATGTGGGCAGTTCAGGGTGCCAGTTTGTCACTTGTCTCCATGTACAGAGTCCAACAGAGACAGAACCCATCACTAAACCTCCTTGAATCCACTCAGATTCTCCACAACATTCAACCTCACTAATTCTACTTCCAAAACCCAACTGCTTGTATTCAGTTCTGAAAGAAATTTTCACACCATGACACTTAGAATATATTCAAGATCCTTACTACCTGACTTTGGGCCACCGTTCACAAACCATTTGCATGGCTAACCATTGCTGATATTTGCTTTAGATGTTCTCATCTTCAAGGCAACTTTTATTTGGTCCAGAACCAATTGATCTATCTGGTATGATCTGCATCTTTGCCTCAATGCAAGAGCTGTATACATAACAGATATAGCCATCACCAGTCTGCCTACGCCATTTAAGTACCGTCTGCTGTTGCGTGTTCCGATAAAACTGCCCATTATTCCAGAAACATGCGAATGAGCAAAAATAATTTTTAGTTTAATTTCCCCATTTCAAACTGCCTTGTTAAACCTGCTCTTTCCCATCACCTTCAATTTTGAACACCTCACAGACTGGTTTGTAAGTACGATTGAGACAATCCATGTTGCTGCCCATGTTGTCCATTGCTGTCAAAGCAGACACGTCCCCTCATTTAAACATTACATTCACAGGGTTACCTAGTTTCTTTCATAACTCTCAACATGGTCTCGCTCATCACCTGTTATCAGGAACCCACTCTCTGCCCCGAATTCATTAAATAGGTTCCTGCTTTCTTCCCTTCCCAGCCCTATGTAAACTGACATTATCATTTGGTTGGTTATGATGAACAAATTCCCAGCCCCCTTGACTAACCGCAAGCTTCATCTGAAGCGTGTTCATAATCATGTCCTGCTCTTTTCATCACCCTTGTTGCTGCTGTCATGCAGCCTCCCTGCACATGAAATATCAAGTTTCTTCCACAATTTAATCCTTCCATAGCCTTGCCTATCCCAGTATAGGATCTCCTCCTACAACCCTATGTATTTGTATCTCCGATTCTGGCCTCCAGTACATTTGGGTTTCCCTTCACTATATTAGCAGCTATACCTTCAGCTATCTGAGCACTACTGTCTGGAATTCCCTTTCTAGAACTCTGCCTCTCCACCTCCTCCTTGGAGATTCACTCACTTGATAAAGTTTTGAATTATGCATAAAATCTCTTTTAGTTTGACATACATCTTTGCCTGATTAAACTTTTATATCAATGGAAGTTGCTCTTGCTTCTATGGCCAACATTCAACCGTCACAACACCAACAAGAACCAAAAGTGATTCCTTGTTTTGGATAGAACCTAGAGCACTGATTTTTTTGTAAAGACTCCTGTAGTATGACTGAGTGGCACAACTCAGAAATGCCTTAAACTGAATAACTAATTATGTAAAGAAAACATAGGAGTCATTAGAATTGGGCTCATGGAGGGAAAAGGAAAATGGATCCTTGTATAGTAAAGTCATGAAAAAAATTTTGAGGCCATGAGAAATTAATGTGGGGTTCTGCAGGATTTGAATTATGTAAACAACATATAGAATTGCTTCAAGTCAGTTAGGAGAGCCAAAAGCAGTGATCAGAGTACCTGACAGTACAGCACAGTACAGACACCCGAGTATCAGAATAGTAGAACAAATGTGCCAGCATGCCACACTTCAGTGTGACAGGGTGAGGAAGGGATACTGTGTAATTCCACCCAGTGTTCTCACAAAGTACTGGACAGGGTGTAATGGTAAAGTAATGGTCACCACCGATTTATAGGTTTCGAGAGTAAGATGTCCAATGGACGGTGCCTGTCAAAATTTATAAAACAAGTCAGCGACTGGATCACGAGAACAAAATTCAGCTCCTGAAATGGATTAATACTCACAAAGTAAAATCATGGTCTGATAGTGCATTTAACCAAACAGACAAATACCCCCACATCTGTATTCACTTTTGGGATCTGAGTGACAGGGATTTGGGCTTGACCGGGTGTTACAGAGGTGGTGATGGGTTTATAGATATTACTGTTCTGGATCTGAAGAAAGACATTATCAAGGTTTCCACGCTAAATTGCAACTGTTGTTGGAAAGCTTACCCACGAAAAGAACTGACAAAACCTGTGAAATTTTCACAATTATAAATGCATTGCACGATATAATTTGAGTGATTGTCCTTGCACAATTGGCTTTAACAGCTATGCTTTTGTTACGATAACAAATACATAGCAACCAAACTGTTATGTAAATTTGATGCTTGCAAGGAGTACATCATTATTTACTTAGTGATCAATTTGATGATACTTATGAATTATAATTGCTCTATTAATCGGCTTTTAAAATGACTAATTCAACATCAATCCCAAATACGACAGTTGCTGGTTATGTATATTGGAATGCGTCCTGGGACTAGAAATGGAAAATCACATCAATTATTTACATGAATGTTCAGCACCTATATATTAAAACACAATTGAAACATCCATTTGTTTGGCATGTATCTATGACAATCAGACACAAAAGTATAATGTTCCAAGTGTTGAAGTACTTGGGAACAATTAGTGCAGACCTTGCGGCAATATGAGGACTTAGATTACCATGATCACCCCATGAGGACATACACTACGCCAAGAATGATTACTATGGCTTACGGCTCCATTCTGTAGACAGAATTCATGAAGACAGCAAGAACTGGAGGAGACAGACATTCAATTTTGGATTGCAGCCTGCAGTTCATTCTAGACTTCTGTGTAAGAATAGGAATACTTCGTAAATTAACTCCGAGGACGCAAAATCATTCACTGTTGATTGATCCATGTCAGATGGTCAGGGGAGAAATTGGAAAAGACCAGGGAAGAGTAATCCAGCACAGTGCAAAAGACCAGGCTGAAACATTTTCATCCTTCTACAGCCAAGCGTGCTGAGTGAGTGATTAATCCTGATCTCATCCTGAGGCCTCCAGTATCACAGTTAACAGTCTTCAGCCAATTAGATTCACAAATGTGATATCAAGAAATTGATGAAATCACTGGGGGCGACATACGCATTGGGCCTTGGCAATTATACTGAAGACTTGCACTCCAGAAAAGCACCACATGTTAAGTGAGGCCCATCTCCAAAAAGAAAGAGAGAATCTAATCATTGACATGGCCATCACTGAAACTCTCAGTATCAACATCCTGGGAGGTTACCATGAAGCAGGAACAAAAATGAAAAGCCATACAAACACACTGTGGCTACCAGAATAAGTCAGAGGTTAGGAATTCTGCAGTGACTAATTTACTCCCTGTCTGCCCAATTATTATCCATCACCTACAGGGCACACGTTGATGGAATACCCCCAATCCTGAGATGAGTGCACCTAAAAAACATTCAAAAAGCTTCACATCATCCATGTTGAAGCAGCCCACTTGATTGGAACCACGTCCAGCACCTTCGAAATTCATTGTCTTTACCACAGCACAGTAACAGCTGTGTACTATCCATAAGATGCACTGCAATTAACTCACCAAGGCTTATTCAACAGGATCAGTCAAACACAAGTCTTCTTCGATGTAGAAGGGCAAGGTCAGCAGATGCAGGGAAACCCCTTGAATTGCAAGATCCCCTCAAAATAACAGCATCCCAACTTGGAACTATAATCGCTGTTTTCATGATTGCTGGGTTGAAATCCTGGTTCTGACCATCTCACAGTACTGTTGGTGTGCCTACATTATAAGAAGTGCAGCAGTTCAAGAACACAGCTCAGCACCTACATTGAACCATATGCAGTAAATGAACAGCGAAGTGCTGGAACACACTTCTGAAATGCACGGTGTGTGCACCACATGTACTGTGGTACTCTAAGGAAGTGCAGTGGCTGAGCTGGTTAAAGTGCCTGTCTAGTAAATAGGAGAATCCTGGATTCAAATCCCAGCAGTGCCTGTATCTTACTTTAAAAGCTCCTCGTTTTTACAGATTTTGAGACAGAGTGAACATTGGGAACATATAGGAGAGACTAGGACCCAAGGGCACAGCCTTAGAATAAAGGGAAGACCCTTTAGAATGGAGATAAGGAGAAACGTCTTCAGCCAGAGAGTGATAATTCTGTGGAATTCATTGCCACAGAAGGCTATGGAGGCCGGGTCATTGAATATATTTAAGACAGAGGTAGGTTCTTTATTGTCAAGGGGATCAAGAGTTACAGGGAGAAAGCAGGAGAATGGGCTTGAGAAACCCATCAGCTACGACTGAATGGCGGACCAGCCTCGATGGGCTGAATGGCCTAATTTCTGCTCCTCGGTCTTGTGGAGGGGTGCCATAAGCACCTTCTCAATAGCAATTAGAGACAAGCTAATGGAATTCATTGTTGGGAGAGAATTGTATATCAAAAAGAAAGGCAAGTTGTTAGAGCTTTTCGTCTTGCACTCATCAGGACCAATGCAAGGATGCAAAATTTCAAAATGCTCACAACACGTTACACTACAGGAGAAAAGGGGTCCTCATTCTCTCCAGGTCAGCTGTTCCTCTGTTTGAACTGAGCAAACTGCATTTTTGTTTGTTAAAAACAAACAAACAGTCAGATTACAGACTAGACTCCGCCAGCCCATACTTGCAAACTCCAAGACAAGACGTCTGTGGTCAGATGTGATTCCATTATTTAGCAACACATGTTAAACAATCCTGAGTGTGTTAAGAGATAAATTGATGGTGTAAAATAACAGTTGAGCTCATGTTGTGTCCCATTCATGCTTGCTTGAAGCAACATGCCTGTCTGTGTAAAAGGA